TTGCGCAGGAAACCGGCTGCTTCGGGGGCCCATCTACGGATCTGTCTCTAGCTCTCAGTGGAGACGGTGGTAATTAGTCATAGCACAATGCATGGCAAGTAGTAAAACGAGACGAGAAGTGTCGTTTTTCTAACCACAAACTGGATTACTGGGCTTGGAACTTTAGCTATGGGAGTTTACGGGAGTTTCTATTTTTCTTTATTTTAACTAGCTACTGGTTGTGTAGTGGTTCACGCGGTGAAACCGAGGTGGGCATGCGGAAAGCATGATCTCAGCCGTATACACCGGTCTTTGACTCCTAGGAGATATAGAGCATAGCTTAGGACCCTGAAACGATTCAATTCAATTCAATCAATTCATTTAATCCATCTTTTATTTCTCCATATTATATCACATATTCTCCCGATTCATATCACTATTATTCTAGTCCTAAATCGCGCCCATTCTTTGAGCCGCCTTACTCATCGAACCCATACCGATTTTCCAACAATCTGTTTTCTTGATATTTGGCCCCAGAACTTGGAAGTCATCGACGTATATCATCACAAATAAGTCCTTTTGTTTGAATTTGGTTTCATTTAGCCCGATTTGGCGCCCTGTGGGCCCATGCAGGCGGCTATGAACCTATCTACATATTTACGTGAGGGGGAAACCATTACGATAAAAACCCCCTGCCCCTACTAAGTTTTCTATCTGTAGTCCCTCGTTACCTACAGGAAGTGCAATTGGCCTTAAGCCCGAGACAGGGCTAGCTAAAATTATACTCGACCTCGCCATCCTTTCCCTGCCCTCGCGTGGTGAAAAGAGACGACTGTGATCTCGAACTTGACTCCGATGGTCCAAATACTTGTGGTGGTGGGTTGACCAGGAGCTGTTTATGCGGCCTTCCTGGCCCTCTCTTGATTACCTCCGTGTAAGGATTCTTGAGAAATCCCTCAGGCAGGATTTATGGGTTCCTTATTTAATCCCACTAGTCTTTATTGCTTAGCGAGGGCACCTATGTAGTTTCCATTTCCGAGTCTGATATCTTCACGCTTTGTTTTCTGTCTTTAGGAATAGTTACATTATTCTAATCACATCTCACTCTCGTCCTCTGCCAAACATAGTGACCTACTGTCACCTCCGGCCCCTCTATCTAGAACGACTCCCCGCTTTCCCTTTTACCACTTCTCTAGAAAGCCCTCCGCGTTACCACGAGGCGTCCTTCCTCAGTACATCCTACGCTACGCCCTCTCCTACGCCTCGAGTCCTGCGCCTAGTGAACCTGCGCCTGACACTCCGGCTTTTGATGTAACACCCGTGTAAATCCCTATTCGTCGGTTTCTTTTGCCGTTGTTGTTGACATAGCTGCTGTGGATAAAAACTATCCTGTCCCGAACTCTACCGTACGTTCAATCAGATCATACCATGCCCGCTGAACGCCGGCTTTGTATGCCGCGAAGTTTTGATACGCCCCCTTCTGCCAAGATTCATGGTCTTTGAGGCAGTTGCAACAAAGCACCGACTTCCTCGGGCAATCTCTGGTCTAGTGAGTGCCCGCACACTCATCACATCTCCTTGCCTTATTGCAAGAGGCTTGGGTATATCCTCATTGGCAGCAGTTCAAGCACTGCTTGATTTGTGCTCGGGATGACCAGAGCTGGGCCATGTATAGCATTGAAATCTATACAATGCCATTTCTTATCACTTCGCGTTGAAGTACCTCCATCGGTAAACTCGCGACAATTGTCCCTCGATTATATTTGATTTATGAATTTGCCATTTTTTGGGTTTTTTCTCCTCGTATAAATTTCCCCGAAGGGAATCCTAAAATCTCAATAGGGTAATCCTGCTTGAGGACGCAGAACTCCTTTGACTGCGCCGTACTTAGGGCAGCTTCTTGCTGGGAAATCGACTGCGCAAACACCTCTATGTCATTGCTCCGCAGCTTTCTTACTGCGTATGCCCTCTCGATATGAATTCTTGACTTGCCTAGCAGCTCTGCCAGCTGCATGTTGTCTGCTTCTTGGACTCTTATTCGTGTTGAAATTGGTGCTTCCAATTATGGCAAAGACAGGAATGTGTAGCATACACACCACTTAGCTCTCATTAATTGTGGAGTTAATATTAATGCGCTTTAACGTAAATACCAACCACTACATTACCTTTTAACAGAATATGGTTAATATAGCACGCTGTGTCCTATCAGGAGTAATTAGCAACTCTCCACGACAGATTTACCGACTTCTCTATTTTCCCAATAGCTTCACCAAGTGAAATAATATTTGCCTAACTGTGACGGACTAGGACTTTCGGCCAATGCACGAAAGCAATGCCACAATTAAATGTTTATATTTTCTATGAGGAAATTACGAGCGGGAAGCTATGGCTCTTTATAACTACAATGCCTGTTCCAGATACCCTTGCCCTTTACCCGTGATCTGATAATACTCCTGTATAGTGAGAAGATTTACAAACTCGCTTGAGCCTTCAAGATAAGGATGGGCCCTATAGCCTTAAGCAGCCCAGCCAGAACCCAGCCGGGCTTAGTCCGTAACACCAATAGCCACAAGCTTTTGTAAACCTATTCGCTCAACCATTGATTGGGCAGGGAGTATTTTAGATATCTCCAAGGACTAGCTCGACGCCAGTGTCAATAATAATACCAGCTCTCTTCTTTGCTGGTGGGGGACTATTCTCAACACCTGCCAGCAGTGTCTCCTGCGAACCTTGAGCTCTCACTGTAGAGTCTGCAGATCCGAGATTGAGTAACAAAGTCCACACTTCGATGGGGATTCCCAATCGCTTTCGCGGTCTGTATAGTCTTCATCTCTCAACAAATTTCCCTTTCACCATAATCATGAAGCTAACCACGATAAGATCAGATCATATGGTTCAAGACATCCAATAAGTTAACGGAGCGTATCCAGCACCCGATACGGAGATGTTTGATTGTCTGAAGTCGGCCTCGATTGTTACAAAGAAGGGAAATATAGATGAATGTGCGTACCTCATGTGGTCCCGGTGTTTAAGCCTCGCCTGGCTGGGGCCGCATGTTTTTTTGAGACTCTTTCCCGCGCACGCAGTTTCCATTGCTACCATCTTTTTGGGTAGAAGGTCCCGTAGAAATGGTGTCTAAATTCCATGGAGATATACCGAGCTGAATGTCTATCCGTCATGGATAACATAATAATGATCTTTCATGTAACATAAGAGGATAGGAGCACTCTACAAGGTGTGGCTAGGGCCAGAGAAGAGCTCGATGTGATAGATATTCATGGACTTGCATAGTATAGTAGTCTACTCACTCACTCTATTTATGACTATATACGGACATGTAGGTACTTCTTGCCTGTAGGCCAGGAGTTTCTATTCCTCGGGTTGTGTACTCTATCCTGTTCCTCATTCGCGACATCTTTTCAGCAGTAATACTCCCACAAGCCTTCATTTGAGTACATGGTTTGAGGAGCTGCAATTAACTTGATAAATTGACTGAAAATATATTGTGATTGGCATTATAATCGTACACAAGTTTTGTATTTACTTATCATTTAACATTAGCTTAGTTAACTCGATTATAAGAGTTAGAAAGGTGAGGCTCGCGAAACTTTCTGTCAAGTCTATCCGTAATTTTTTTAGACATATCAGCTAGTCATTGTCTAGAAATCTTATATTCAGTCATAACAGTTTACTCAAGACGCCTTAACCTCTCAATGAAAGCCCTGCTGAATGGTAATGTCCGACCTCAAAAGTAAGTGAAATTTTAATCGACTTATAAAAAAGTAGATTTTTCGAAAAATTGACAATGAATTAAATTCCCTTGGTGACATTCACATGTGTTGAGGTTTGCAAATGCATGTCTCAGATGTTGAAATTTGAAGGTAATTTAATTTTTTCTAGCCCAGATATACTTGGTTTCAGTAAGATAAAAATGATTGAAATCAATAACATATTTCTTGATTAGATGAGCAGATAAGATTTTGTACAACATGATAATTTCTTCCCAATCGACGGCGGCAATTTAATTGAGCCGCCGTGCAAGGAATTCTAGCCTTGCCTCTCCACAAGTCCGCCTCCCCGGCTAAGTAGATGATACCAAGAGCTGGTTCATCGGGCTGTGAGGGATAAGCCAAAAACGTAGACGTCTAACAAACCTTAGCTTACCAACAACTTTACTGGCTTACATATTCATCAACCATTGTAGCCTCATGCATACAGCGACGTGCGAGCAGGCAAAATTATAATCTGTTCCACTCATTATTAACAGATAAAATTTAAGTGGGGACAGTTTGCACATTAATTTCAATCAAGTCAGAAGTACTGCAATTCCTAGACGCACCGTCTTCCTCGAGCTACACTGATTAATTGGTTTGATCTCCTACCACAAAAGTTTCTGTCAATAGCATTTCGCTGTTGGGAATTAACCACTCCGAAGCTGACAATTTCACAACTCGGAAGTGACTCGGCTAGTTTGTCGACCGCGCTTGTATCGAGAAATCGATTTACTCCGAACAGACATACTTACGATAATCCTTACCTCCTACAACTCAGATACATCGCATCGCACAAGCTAAAATCGGGCGAATCTAGACAAAACTATTAAAGAAAACTCTTGCAATATCTAATATACCCCGTTACGTTCTTACACAGAGATGAACCTGTCACACTCCCGGTAAAAATTTAGTTGTCTTCAATTGTAGCCAAGTGTAGATTCTGGAGGAATCCACACCTGCTTCGTCTGGATAACCAATTACAACCTACAGCACAAAGAAGATAACGTAAGTTCCATGCCATACATAGAAATTTATCGAGATATGCGCTAGTGCAATACTCATCTATCATCTTTTTTGTCTACACCTGAACCTGCTAACCTCTCTGGCTGTGCTATAGAAATTCAGGTTATCCTAACCCTTTGAAACAATATAAATTTCTTGCTGCACCCTAAATATTTCAGAAATCTAGCAATTACACGTCGTCAACGAAAGCCAAATTGGTCTTTAGCTACTTGTAGGATAGGAAAAATGGCGGATCTAAATGACATAGATCTCGATTCCATCATTGATAGGTTACTAGAGGTGCGCGGTAGCCGACCGGGCAAACAAGTCCAGCTTCTAGAAGCAGAAATTCGCTTTCTTTGCACCAAAGCTCGAGAGATTTTTATCTCTCAACCAATTTTATTGGAGCTAGAGGCCCCCATTAAGGTAAGCCTTCCTACAAGAATCTAGTCCTTGAATCCCGTCTTTAATCTTGCACTGACCTTAAACGTGATCTTTTTCTTAGATTTGTGGTGATATTCATGGTCAATATTATGACCTACTCCGGCTGTTCGAGTATGGTGGCTTCCCTCCCGAGGCAAATTATCTTTTCCTTGGCGACTACGTTGATAGAGGCAAGCAGTCTCTGGAAACCATATGTTTGCTCTTAGCATATAAGATAAAGTATCCAGAAAACTTCTTTATTCTCCGCGGAAATCACGAGTGCGCCTCCATCAATCGTATTTATGGGTTCTACGATGAGTGTAAAAGAAGATACAATATCAAGTTATGGAAGACTTTTACAGATTGCTTCAACTGCTTGCCCATAGCAGCAATTATAGACGAAAAGATATTTACTATGCATGGTGGTCTTAGCCCGGATCTTAATTCTATGGAACAAATCCGTCGGGTTATGCGCCCTACTGATGCAAGTCACATAACATTTCTATGTACAATGCAACAAAAATTGCTGACATCAAATAGATTCCCGATTGTGGTCTACTTTGTGATCTTCTCTGGTCCGATCCTGACAAAGATATCACAGGATGGAGTGAAAATGACCGTGGGGTCTCTTTTACCTTTGGCCCAGATGTGGTCTCTAGATTCTTACAAAAACACGATATGGATCTGATATGCCGTGCTCATCAGGTTGTCGAGGATGGCTACGAATTTTTCTCAAAACGCCAATTAGTAACGCTTTTCAGCGCACCAAATTACTGCGGAGAATTTGATAATGCTGGAGCTATGATGAGCGTCGATGAAAGCCTACTATGTTCGTTTCAGGTTAGCATGGGAAAGGTCTTATTACTAATCACATACTTACTATGGCTTATAGATTTTGAAGCCTGCGGAGAAAAAACAAAAATATGTTTACGGTGGCCTAGGTTCTAGCAGACCAGTTACTCCTCCGAGGAAGCAAAATAAGAAATAGATGAAAAGCTACGGACCTGTGTCTAGTAGGTTTGGATGCTGATAAGCAAGCTCGTGCTACTCCCTTGAGTCCCAAAAGCTGCTGTCCCAGTTAATGCAGATCTCTTTCCACAAATGATACGACCACTATATGGGCTTATCATAGTCCACCCTGGTATCGTCCGATCTTAAAAGTACCTCACGTTCAACAAGATATACCTTAATTGGCGGTACGAATACCTCGAAGTTTCGCGACGAATCAAAATCTTCCACGTCTCGACTCAATTCTAACTGGCATTTATCTTACTACCGCTAATCATCTAGGAAGGTAAATTTATACCACCTACGGTTTGCAAGGACAAATAATGAATGAGTCTCCGAAGGGCAAAATATGCATACTTGGCTTTTCATGGTTATTTTACTTTGTGCACAACGGCTTTCTGGCAGTATAATTCTGTGTACATGAGATAACGATATGCATGGGCGGTTTTCTGGGCAATATTACGGTTAGCATAACTCTGCCTATGTAGTTCTGAGCTGGTGCTGCTCAGCTCTACTGTGCATGTTGACGTCACATTCCCACTAGTATTTTTGTGTCTGTAGATTTGTGACTTTGCAATGGCGTTAATAAATCTAAGAAAGCTCTTGTACCAGCCGGTAGCTTAAGTCTATGTGTTCGAAATCTCACGGAGCTTGTTTGGGTTTAACGGTAGTTCTATTCAATTTTTTGTAGTCATCTTTCCACTAATAACTAACGATCTGGGTTTCCAATGAACTCATCACATATGTGTTATAATAGAGCAGAACTGCCTGACTCAAAAATAATGGCAGCTACATTAACGACATCTGCTGACTATCATGAGGGGTGACAATAATATTTATTAAGTACGATATATCATGCATTTCATCATGCTAAAGTCTGTTCAGTAGTAATACGCGCTAATATTGAAATCAACCTAATTTATCCTAGCTATCTCGTATCAAATCTTGTCAGAAGGATCACACCCACAAGATCCTGGATAGTAATGATATGTAAAGCATGTTGAAACTTCACTCGAAAGACAAAATTATCTGTCTTAGTTCTTTGGAGCAAGGCCACTTGTGATATTATTAGACTTTGGGAACAACAGAATTGCAGCTCTGATATTACGGAATATGTTTTGTTTATTGATGAGAAATAGACAATCGTAAGTGTTTTGTGGAATACGTCAGTATTTCTAATGTTCAGAGTTGGATAGTGCAGTGGTACAACACTCCGGCTGTTTCCCAGGTAGATTCTGGATAGCTTGAACACATACCACATTTGAAACAGGAGAAGGTTGTTTCTGATCCAGAAAGTCCCATTCCACAATTTCACGCGGTGATGTTGTATTTGTGGAGGGACAAATGTACACTCGGATAACCACAAGGTTTTCACGCTTTTCCCTATCGTGGTTATGCATGGAAGAGGTTACACGCCGTAAGGGTTTACTTGGATTGGAATGTGCGAGTGTTCCGATCGTCAAACTGAATTATCCCACACTAGCAACTTATCTTCCGAAAAAACCTGCGTGGGCACATGGATGTCAAACAATGGTAATTGAATAAATTATTTTCGGGTCTAGCATTCAAGTTGCTCCGGTGCACGTTCCAATATCCTTGATCTTGGTTAAGCAAATTCTGGCCCTCATAAATCTCGACAAACGATTTACAGCTACATGCCGTTGCGACTATAACCGTGGCTTCACTGATGGAACTTCAATGAAGACCTATCTGCTGATCACTTCACTACGTAGGGTTATATCTATAGCCCGAATCCCGCTAAATTGTACCACCCACATGAGCTAGACTTATTTGATTGTAAAGCTACTGAGAAATATAGAATTACAACAATAACTGTATTCGATCAATAAACTCGTGCCATACTTTTCAAGGTTTGATGGTTATTGGATTCCATTAGGTATGACATGGGTAAGGGCTGATTCCCTCGTCGGCCATCTAGTAATGCCAATAGTTGATAGATTAAGAACTGCTTAAAGCAGTGGGTTGCATTGACTGGTAACACTATCCTGGCTTGTCTACGAGAGTTTCACCACTTTGAGTACTGTAAAAACGTCAAGGAGGAAGCACAGACAAACTCTTCATACCCTAATACACCCACTATTCGGGCCCGATGGAGCAGGAAGGCTGTATACCTGTCAATGGTATCCTCTATGAACCTGGAAGTCAAATCTTTCCACAAAGTCAAGATTCAGCCAAGACAAAGAGTTTTATTTAGAGTTTGTGTCGAGTTGGCGATGGGGAGAAGTGAGGCTGGTTCGTGTTTGGTCGAGAATCTGACCCACATAGATTTCACGACTGCAAGACCCAACAAATACAGACATTCACACTCCAAGTAAGGACTCCAGAAGTGATAAAACCTATGTGAAGTCTGTATTAAATCAACAGACATCTCTCACCATCTCGAATTTTACTGGAAGATCTTTCGCAGCTAAACTTACCTCGCAACATACCTCAGCTATCCAAAAGTCATAATCAGAGCGTAAGGTACAAGAAGTCATCAATCTCTCCGTAGTGTCGCTCGCTGTGAAGGTATAGTCGAAGTACTGACCTGATAGTCGTCTCTAACTCGGCCAAGGGCACCATAAACTCGACCTGCGACGAATTGACATTCACGAAATGCGTAAGGCATTCCGCCTGCTTATCAACTAGGCCACTCAATAAAGGCCGAGGCATCATTGTCTCGCTCTTAAGCTCTCAGTCGCGTTTTTGGCTTCCCATATCAGGGGTACGTCAGCAACAAGGCAAGGCAGGAAGGATATAAATTTTACAAAGTTTCCAAGATGACAAAATTGGCAAAAGAATCAAGGAGAAGCTAGGATGGAAGAAAAAAAGGGGAAGCGAAATTGAGGAGACCTTCCATGAAGAAGATGACCCCTAGATGAGATGAGGAGATACTAAAATGAAGCATGACTGGAACTGAAGAGAAAAGAAAAAATTAGAGATTGAGGAGCTAACAATGGCTTGGGCGCGTGGTGGCCGAGTCTGAGTAGGAATCTACGCTTCGGCGCGTCAAAGTCAGGCTCTCGGAGGACGAAGGCTGAACACCTGTCAGTGGTGTCCTCCACGAACCTGGGAGTGAAATATTCTCCCAGAGCCGAGATTCAGTCACGACAAAGGATGAATTTGAGAGTTCTCGTCGAGTTGGCGATTGGGAGGAGTGGTGTTAGCTCATTTTTGGTCGAAAATCCGACTTGCAGAGATTTCACGACTGCACAACTCAACGAAATCAACCATCTACACCCCAGATACGAGCCGCAGACAGCCTATAACCTGTCTGAAGTTCGTATCACAACAACCGACACCTTCAACATCTTATTTTCTATTTCTCTGGAAAATCATTCCCAGCCAAACTCATCTCGCAGCCCTCTCCACAATCATCTCATCACCTACCTAAGCAATCCCAAACCTCCAAAAGCCAAATCGCCATCTAAGAAGCAAGAGAATTTCCGACCCTACGTAAATGCCAGTCGCTGTGAAAGTACGGTCGAAATAATGGCCTTAAATGCGTCCTCACCTCGGCCAAGGGCACCAACAACTCGACCTGCGACGAATCGCCACCGAGGAAATACGTACGACATTTCGCCGGCACACCAACCAGAGCATTCGACAAAGGCTGGGGTACCGGTGCCTCGGTCTTGAGCTCTCAGTCATGTTTGCGACCTCCACATTTAGGGGTACAGCAGGGACGGGGCAAGGCCGGAGGGGTGGATATTCTACAAAGTTTCTGGGATGACGAGATCGGCTGAAGGACAGAGGGATGCTACATGAAGGAACCAAAAGGGAATACGAACTGAGGAGGCCTTGGTGGGCGACTGGATGAGGCCTCCAGTGAAGAAAACGACCCCTGGACGAGATAAGCCAAAGCTGGGAATGAATGGAAGGGAACAGTTACAGATGGCGAAGGTGTCACGGGCTCGGGCGCGTGGTGGCGGAGGCTGAGGAGGAACTCGAGCTTCGGCGCATCAAAAGAGGGTTCTCTGGACGGCTGGGCCTGACATGATTCAACACATGGGTGAAGTCTGAGGTGGTCCGGTCATTTAGGTCAGACGAGGTAGATGTACTTAATGGTAGTTAACCTGATCCAGCCCGGCCTCATCCGTGCATAAGCTCCAGTAGGAGTGCAACGGTAATCACTACACCTCGCATGTAAATGAACAAAACAAAAAAATCAGGCTCTCTGAACGGCTGGACTCGATATTTTCAACAAATTGGTGAAGTCTGAGGTGGGACGTGTTTTATTGTACTTATATTGTAGTTAACCCTGATCTAGCCCCGCCTTACTCCCGCTAAATCTCCCATAGAAGTGCGGACGGTGCTAATTGACTACCACGTTATTAAACACACATACATACGGGCCCAATAAAGCTATTTTTTTTCGCATCAGATTTTAATTGCGTATGCAGCTATCTAGCTATGACACTATATCAAAGAAAAGTACAGAAAAGATGACTCAATTTACAAGAGGAGCACTCATGCCCAATAACGCTATGTTATGCTGCTCGGGTTGGGCTTTCAAGAACTTCTGATTACCCTTGTCATCCAGCCACAATCCGCGTCGCTCTCGGTTGAAAGCGAACGATAATGACATGTTAGATTAACCAAGGATCTTTGGGTTATTCCTCCGGCAAGTATAAGGAGTGAATAAGAGAATAGAGTCCCTGCAGAAAGCTAAGGGAGCGACACGTGCGTGACCCATCCATAATATGAATTGTAGAGTAACATGTAGTTCATCCTCAGCTCAGCGGAAATACTAATCTTTCGCAAGCTCGCAATGAACTGGAAAAGTAGATAACGCGGTCAAAATACGACGCTTGGGGAAGTAGCTGTTCGATGGTGCCCATGCCACGCAGGTATTCTGGGAAACGAAGTTGCCGACGCCCTCGCTAAAGCTGCCTGTGCAGTTCCAGCTCCACACTTAGAACTGTCCATTGCGAGGGCAAGGAGAGTAGTCAAAGCCCAATACGAGGCTTCTGTTGCACT